TCAAATTATTATAAAGCTATAGTATAAAGTGCAGCGTAAACTATATAACCATAGTAGTACTATGCATACAGTTAATCTGTATGTAATGTATATAATACTACGATTAGTGTATACGATGCTACAGTCATGCAAACAGTACTGAAGATACTTTATACAGCATAATGGTACAGACAGTAGTATTATACCTGTCGCCATGTAGTTTGTAGACAGTAGTGCATACAATTATGCCACGTATGATAGAGGCAGTGACTGTAACGCTAAGAAACAGAACTACAATAAAATATCAAGTGGAATATCAAGACAGGCATAACAACCGCAGAACCACAAATCTGCAATTGAATTCAATCTATGGTCTCTAACAAACCATTTCTACCTGAGAAATATTTTATGTACAGATTCTGCACTGACGAACTAGTCGCATCTGAAGCAGGAGAAGCTGAGCAGCAGCTTTATTGTTGCTTTGGTAAAACGTACACGATTCATGACGAACCTACTTGGAGCTACCAAATACATTTAGTAACAATTTGGGTGGCCAACGAAGAATATGGGTGCCAACCAGCAATGCTGATGGCAAATCGACAGCGTGTGGCCAATCAACGATGTGGATGGAAAATTGCCACTGTTGATTTACCACTCACATTTGCTGATTTATCACTCACATTATTGACTGGACAACTTCACTAGTGATTTGTCAGCCACATTGGTGACTGACCACGTACATTGTCGCTTTGCCAACCATATCACTGCAGACTGAAAGTGATACTGAATTTTGCATGTTCAGCATAACATCTAGGATGCACACATTCTTTTACATTGTCAGATATTAGATAAGCAGATGGATCACAAGACGAAACCAGATAAATATGCTGTAGTAATAGAGCTTTTCCCCCATCACGACTGCTGCAGGCTCGATCGTAACATGAGTTATGGCGGGTGCCACTTTCCGTCAATGTCATAAAGATTTCTGTGGGAGATCATCATCAGCCCATCCCCATCCTCCTCTTGAGGAAGGATTCTCAAAGACGTTACCATAAGCTTCTGTTTACTGTGATTCTTATCGAGAGGTCTTGAGTCCACGAACTTCGCATCACCTCGATATTGTTCTGGAGTCTCTCTATGAGCTATTTACTCTCTCCTGGAATCCAGTCTATTGTCCCTCTGGCTCAGCTATGGTAGATTCTTCCTGCAGCTACTCTGTCCATTGTCACCTTCTTAATGGATGCAATAACCTCACAAAGTCCTGTTTGTGCTCTTGCCTATTCATATGCTTTCCTATCGCCTAGCTTTCAGACGCAGGGTTCAATTTTCTTACTCATCTGTTAACACTGGGAGCCCACATTGATCAAAACATTCAATTTCAAGCATAAACGCAGTGTCCCGGATAAGAATGTTTTGAATCTTTCATACAATTTCCGATTTGTAATGGAAGATATATGAAACATGGGACTGTTGCATGAGAAAAATTTTTGCTCAAAGAAGTTAGATAATCTCGATTATGGTACTGATGATCGCGATACTGATGATTATGATTAGCATGGCAATGACGGTGATGATCATGACGACCATGATTATGGTAGTGATGCATATGGTAATAATGCCAGTGATAATTATGATTATGATCTTGATATTTGTGATAACAATAGTGATTGTGAAGTAGATTATGTTAAAGGCGATGACAAACTACGCATTTTTAATAGGCAGGGAAAGCAGAGAATGACCGAAAAATAACTCAACAATAGGCCATGAGATTTAAGGTGATTACCAGAGATTAACGGCTAAACTCAGAACCGTTGTGGACTAACTGATTTCAACTGTTCGCCATAAATCAGAC